AATTGCTAACCGAATTATCGATCGACGAACAGGTTACACAGGTTAATGGACGCGTTTATGGCGCTCGATTAGATTCGCGAAAGGTGCGGCCAGATTGCGAATCGCAGCTTTGATTCGACACGCTTCGTATAAAAGGAACTATGCGAATTAAACGCATAGGTATGACGTATGATATCGGTATTGGAAAGTGTAGGATATTCGAACACGATGTTTTTTCATTAATAAATATCGATATATGAAAATCAAGCGTTTCGAATCGGCGCGTGTACGTTTATTTATCTTCTTTTTCCTCTCTTTTTCTTTCCTTCGTTGGAAAAACAATTTTAATCGATTCGTAAAATTGTATCACGCGAAACGTATAATTTATAATAACGTTCGATTCTGAATTTATGCATTTAAAATTCACGCGCAAATACGTATTACTTATTTTATCGAATATACGTGGCTCTCCCAGATCATAAAATCAATTTGCACTTACCGGTCTCGAGATCAATGGTGTAAGGAAGGCCTGCCCATGGATTATCTTGCGCTTCGTCGTACGTATCCTTTGTATCCTTCTGGAAATATCGAAATATCATGGAACCTACTCGTTAAAAAAGTATATCCTATCGAACATTTAATTGATAGAAGTTACATTAAGGGGAAAAAAAAAAAAAAAAAAAGAAAGAAAACTTAGATATATCTTTATACCAGCGACTTCTTTCTCCGTCGAATCGGCAATTTTCCCGTCGTGTCTTAAAAAACTGAGTCGTTTTTAAGGGGAAGAATAAGGATGGGATTCATCGGTCACGGATGAAGTCATTTTCGAATTTAGAGAGCGTCATGGTCGACGACATGGAATGTTCGAAACGTGGCCGTTTCGTCGTGATAATGAAAGGAGCGAGAAGGACGGCTCGTAACAATGGTCGAATTCAGTGGGATGAGATCCGAGAGCGTCAAGGTCGAGGATCATAGAGACGTCATAATCAAGAATCTAACGGCAACGTGAAAAAGAAGCGAAGGGTGCTCGTATAGCCGAGACCATATAGATTGGCCATGCCCGCGTTATATACGGGCTGCAGTGAAATGAGTTTAATGAAAATAGCATTGTACTCGATCATTAATCATACCGACTCTCCGATAGTGGTTATCCAACCATTCCCTTTTCTCTCTCTTCTCCCTTTCCCGGACAACGCTCTTCATCCCCTTCTATCATCGTTGCTTCAGTCTCTTTTTCGTTCGGTGTGATGTATCGTCCATGTTGAGAGCTGCGTTATATACGAAGATCCGGGATATATGAATACCAACTTCGATCGATTCTCTCTCTCTCTCTCTCTCTCTCATCCTTCGATCGAACAACTCCCGCGAGAACAGAAGCTCGAACCACGCGTCCTATCCCCGTTCTCTTCTCCTTCTAAATTTCCCAAATTTCTTCCCGTTCTTCCCGATCGAGAATCCGCATAGATGATACGTATTCGTGAATTCGAAATCAATGGGCGACCACAGCGACACCATCGTGTGCTATGCGGATTATTGCCAGTCACGTGGTATATTCTATCACAATAATTCGCGACACTGCCGATCCTGGCACCTTTCATCCTCATTCTACTATATTTCAAAACCGATAACTTTAGACACGATTCGTTCGATCATTCGAATACGTCCATTATACAAAAAATAGAATTTGTTGTCGAGCCATTATCGTTCAGAAAGGGAGAAGGAAAGAAAGAAAAAAGTAAATGATAGGCGTGCAATTTTACAAGTTTGGAAGCAAGTATCGAAATACGATGGGTACAACGGACGGAGCGCCATTTTATCCCTAAATTTGAGCGGACAGAAACAAGGAGGGAAGAGAGAAGGAGGGGCAAACCCACTTCGGTTCGCTAGGCGCGTTTTCAATTTCCAGGGCCATCAATACGTCCCTCGGAATCCCCCCGCCGCGCTGCTCCAATCTCTTTGCCCCTTCTCCCTCCCCTCTCCTTTCATCCTGCTTCCCCTATCTTTTTTTCTCGCTCGCGTCCCGCGACCAACCGGCTTTCTTCTGCTTCTCACCCTAACAACTCTTCCTTCCTCAACGTGCTTTATCGATGCCGCCACCGCCCCCTGCCTCCGGGGATGCTGTAACTACATCTATCATTTCGACCAACCCTCCAAACGATTGCGCCGACCAACCGAACGCTATGTATCCGTTTCGATCTTTCTCCACGAATACATTTTCCCCGCCATTCCCGCCCCCAAAATGAAACGAGAATCTTATAGCATCGCGATTATTTTATCTCAACCTGCGCACAGGATCGAGAAAGATTCTTAGTTTCTTAGTTGAAGCGCGACAAATCTTTCGTCACCGTTGCGAGCGTTTAAAATCTAAAAGGGAAAATTCGGATCGATTAATTATTCGCGGTAAGTCAAGTCAATTCGTTCGGTTGAATTCGCGATGCGTTATTAAACGCGGATTGATTTTCGATCGAATCGAGACAAATGAACATGGAAGATGGTTACATATTATTATTATTATTTCAATCGACGCGAAAAAACGGAAGGGATCCGATTATTGGGCGGAAAGAAAGAGGGATTCAATCGGATTTTTTTAAACAATTCCAAGACGAAAGGTGGAGACAATCTTTGACGAACGAGAAACGAGACGAGAGAATGGAATCCTTTCCCCCCCCCCCTCTCCTTCGTTCGCGAACCATTCTTTGGATCGATGTGTTCGATTTCGATCGGGATCGAGGATATTCCCCGTATTATTGAACCCTCGAAGACGGCGGTGCGCCTTCACAAAGGTGGAACCCGTAGGAACAATACGGAGAAAGAAGCCGAAAGATAGGGATGCGAGAAAGGAATCGAAAAGAAGAGAGGAGAGGAGAGGAGAGAGGAGAGAGGAGGAGATGAGAAGAGAAAGAACGTCGAGAAGTCTGATGGGTTACCCGCCCAGAACGTCGTGCAACGTCATTGTCGGTGACCATAGTATGGATGAGCTCTCGTTCGTTCGAATCTCTGGTGGATACTTAAACGCTGTTCGCGTTCATCGACTGAAACGCGGGTCGGACGAAGGAAATCGACGGATGGAAAAAATTGTACGGTACGGTATATAGAATAGAAAGTGAATTAAATCGGCCGATCGGGAACGCAGACGGACACACGATTTTAGTTTCTTCTAGAGAAAATTATCGCATCGTTGAACAAAATACAAAGGAATCGTGATTAAATGAAATTCATCGAACCGAACTACGCCTGTCAATGTATAATCGTTGTACACAACGATTCATCTTCGATGTTAATCATTTCATTTGCCATTTTACACGATTCTTTATATAACCGAGTAGTTGCAAACTCGCGTACGAATTTTGCGCACGATGTCTCGATTATATATTGTTGCTGCGTCGAATAAAATATAAATTATAAAGGGAAGAGACGAAACGATAGAAACGAAGAATGAGATAGAAGATGAAAAGATGGTTTGGCTTCGTTCCTTCTATCTTATCTAATCTCTTTGCTGTATCTACCGAGCACGGCTTCCATGGATTTACAGGATTATAACTTATATACTTTTTTTCGGATCTACGTTTGATCGATTGACCAGGATGGAGCGCGTGGGTGCAGAGATTCGAACAAGGATTTGAAAAAGATCCGTACGAAGAAGGAAACGCTGCGTTAGATGCGTTTTTTTTTCCTCGACGGAAATAAAATTGCGGAAAATTTTGAAAATCGCATTCGATAGACTCGAAGGATAAATAAGCGAGTATTTATTTTCTAGATTAGGATCGAATCGATTTTTATACGAAGACGAAAAAACGAGTGGAAAGATTGTAAGGAGATAGCCACCCCGAGTGTCGAATTCTTGTGTTGGTCCAACGAGTGGCGTCACTTTTGTTTGATGCCTCACCGGTCGACTTCACGACCGATCGATACCGATCTATCGACACGGATCGCTTACCTCTCGTCCTCGTCCAGTATTAATACGATCGAATCTTAATCTTTTTGATTTTTTTCCTCCTTGTTTCCGATCCGCGACCAAAACTTTCCATCATCGAGATCTGATCTATTTCCTCCCGATCGGCAAACATTTAACTTCGAAAATCGAAACTTTGAATATAATAAAGAAAGGAAAAGAGACGAAAAATATTGGACGTCGAAACGCTCCATCCATTGGAAGAGGAATGTAAGGTGTAATACGAATTTGAATGACACGTGAGAGAGGAAAATGTGAAAGTAAGTATTTGTACGAAACTCGATAAACAATAAGTCATTAGTCGTTAATTGCGGTCTGTAAAGGACGGGAGAAAGCGACGCAGATTGATTCGCGAAGTCGTTGCGAAAGATCGATTTGTTCGATTAAAAAGAAAAAGGAAAAAAAAAAAAGTTAGGTAATTACAAATATTTACAAACCTCTTCGTTGCTTCCATTGATCGCCTCTAAAGCTTTCAATTTTTCGATCTCGTCGTCGGTTCCCTTTTCGATCGCAGACACCTTCTTCGTCGTCGTAGTCGTCGGTTCCACCAAAGTGAATCCCAAATCCACGTCTTGCTTCCAAAGCACTTCGATTAAATCCATATCCTGAAACAATACGTTAAAACGATTAAGATTAAGGGAATTTCTTCTTTGAAAATTTATATCTCTTCGATTGAAAACGAATTCATCGAATTCTTCTTCTTAATTTTTATTTTCGACTCGATTTCTTCTCCAAAGGAATCCTCATTTCCCCACGTCTCAAGTTTTAATTCCTTTTCAGTTTCGTAAGTCAATAACGAGTTGTTCGAAATCAAAATGATTCATTTTCGTTGCGGCCAAGATGTCCCTCGCAGGGAGTCCCATCGACGAGTGTGTACAAAAGTGCATGATTAATGATGGCCGAGTATCGATGATGCATCTCGAAACGGATGAGATCGGAAGGAGAAGAAAGAAGCTGGGAAAAAGGACGAATCGCATGACGGGGCACAATTGGCAGGACAGCTGGTCCGTAGCTTTTAATTGAGCCAATTTCGCCGAGTTCGTATTCAACCTCGTTAACTAATCTACAGATTTTCTTCGCTAATTTAAAACTTGGCCGTTATTACGCTCGATGCAAGAAGTAGAGGAGTACGCCGTCGACTATATGTATACCTACCGTTAATTAGATTTCGCGATTAATTCGATTCTCTTATCTTATTAAATTCGAGTATTATCTTTCGAGTGGATAAATAAAGAAAAAACTGCTTCGATACGTTGTTGATATTCCGACAAACGGTCAAACACGTTAATTCCATCCATGGTTTGCCATATCGATCGCATTTTCTAGATAATAATATATATCGCGTATATCATATCATACGTGCGCGATGTATAATTTCATTGGAAATTGGATAGAGACGAATCGACGGCGATGAAAAATAATCGAATGGGATAATCATTAATCTTTGAAACGTGGGTAATCGGGTAAATTTTAACACGATTTGGCGTGGCGCGGATCGTAACTCGAGGATACGTTTGTTGCGCACGATCCGGTGGATCGAAAATTACTCGACCGAGCGCGTGTAATTCGATGGGGCGAAGGAACGGAGGAAAGAAATGGAGGACGCGATGAAAAAGAGAGGCAGCGTGGGTGTGCATACGATGTCGGCCATGTTGGAGAAACACAGCGGGATATCCGCCGCGCCCACAATCCTCGACTCGATCGACGTTCGAGTTCGTCTCGCGCATTTCACCTGCCACCACTGCGCGCCAATCGCATTTACCTACGCCTTTAATTTTTCATTCCATTATTCCATCGTCCCTACAAACCTCCCTCTCTCCTTCTCTTTCGTTATCATTCCGCCAGATTAATAATAAAATTGCTCGCATGCAATAATAAGCCGATGATTTCGTAGCCGGTCGTCGGATCAAAGGTTGTAAATATGTATCGAAAATGCGATATAGAAAGGAAGAACAAGATCTTGGTATCGAGATCTTCGAGGTCTTCTATCTTAATTAGTTATCTTGAAAAATATTTTCCCGCTCGATTGTTTCTTCGTCTCGGAATAACAGGTGTAACGATCTCGCCGCTCTTAAATCGATCTGTCTCTTCCGAAAGGAAAAGACTTTGCTTCTGCGGGACACGAGCCGATGACTGTACGTTTTATAACTTACTGCATCGAATGTCGATCATACAACACCGTGATAATGTAATTACTCTCCCCATTGTCGCCGATGACAACGAGTATAGGCCAATCTTCTCGAATAATCAAACGCTTCTTCGCGGAAACGGATGAGTTATCGACAGTATATATAGTATCAATTACGTTCCTCGGTGAATTTTACCACGTTTGATCGATCAGTCTTTTTAAATTCTTCGTACGATTCTCTATAAATAACTTACGATATCGCGTAATGATATTTTCGATACAAAAAAAAAAATATAGATCAGAATAGTTCTAGCAAAGTTTTCTAGGAAATTTTTTCTTTTTTTTTTTTTAAAGGAAAAACGCGTTTAAATATTTTTTAATTATTGTTCATTTTTTAAAACGTTAAATCTATTAAATTGAAAGCGAAACGTTATTACGTTATTACGTTATAATTAATATTGTAAAATTGCATTATAACAAGGAGTATAAATAAAAATAAATTTATCGTTGATATTGATATTTACTCGAAATCTTATCTATTTACGTGATTAATAAAGAAATGATAATTAATCGTTTTATCCATAACAACTTATTTGATCTTAGAAATTAAAGATATCGAATTGTAAGATATCGAGTCCATCGAATCAATTTTGTTTAAAACAATAATAATCTCATAATCTTTGTGAAATTGTTACAAGATCGATACTTTTGAATTCATTAAATTTGGATAAAAATAAAAGTAAAAATTTTTATATCGCCACAAAAAATTAATACCCGTCAACGTTTTGCTATTGTTGGAAGAGACGTCGTTATATATCGTAGAAAGAACGTTCGAACGTTACGTGTTTTACGTGATGTAAGTACGTAAATAAGCATTATAAACCTCATGGTGATTTCCTTTCCTATAAAACCGCCACCGTCAAAACGTGACATTGCGATTCCTCTCCTTCTATTTTCACGCGTACTTTTCTCGTTCCGCTTTGCAATTTGCCACTACAATTTGTTTCATACTACAATCGTTATTTCAATATTTCCATTTCCAACTCGTCCTTCGATTTAATAATTTTTATCGTAATTTTGTTTTATCGCGTCCATTTAATACGATTCAAATATTACGATATTTGATCAAAATGAAACAATTGCGTACGATTCCGCAAGCGGAATTAAAGACAACACGATAAAAGATAACGTAACGTATCGATAAGTGTAAAACAGTACATATATACATTCGTATCTGATAGCAAAATCGTAATTTCGTGTAATAATACTCGAAAATTACATGTTCGCGTACTTTTTTTTTTTCTTATATTTCTCGAGTATTTATATATTGTTATACAGGAGAAAAAAAAAATAATTTCTCTATCGCGTTACGAAAGGAAACGTTGAAATTGTAAAGGAAATACCGGTACAAGATGAATTACATTGAACTCGAATAGCGGGGGTAGCGAGTTGGAAAAGTGGGCTTGCCGGTAATAAGTAATCTTTACAAATTTATCGGTAATCTCGTTATGGCGTAACGCCACCTCTGCCTATCTTTCGACGCTTGTTGTGCATCGGATCTTAAAAAGAAGGACGCACTTCTTCGGTGAACCTGTCAAGACGTACCTGGCTTTGAACGATAAATAGGCCTAATGGTAGTTCTACCGTTAGGTTGACCAGGTATTATCCTCGATTTTCACGCCACCCTTTCGTTTCTATTTCCAAAAATATCCACGGACAGGCAGGTTACACTCTTCCACTTTTGCCGTAAATAAAAATAATCATCTACCACTTCAACTCAAGTTATTATTTTTATTCGAGTATCAAATGCGTTCAATTTATAAAGAATCGTAATAGCCAGTTGTTTTCTTTAGTATAAAATCCGCGGTATTTCCAGATATTTATCTTTATAAATAATGTATTAGAACAAAATTGCAGATAAAGCGTGAATAGTTTGTACGTAGCGTAAGTGCGACGGTGCCGTTAAATTTCCATTGCTAAACATATATGGTTAGTACAGTTTGATACAACGAAAACTCTCACATGCATATTTATTAGAGGAATAATAATAATAAATGTGCGAAACTCAATCAGATTAAAGACGCGCGAAACGAACAGTAAAGCGAACAAGTAAGGTAAATGAAAAAATCCTAGCCAAGGATCTTTCTGCACTGGTTGTGAAGTAACGACTTGGCCGTGAATAAAAGGAAGGAACCGTGGCAAATGATGTTTCCGCAAATCTTGCCTGCCGTTCATAAATTACTTATTGTCGGTATCCGCGTAGTTAGAAATAGCAGCTTTGGACATTTTGCGGTAGACCGAGATAGACAGTGACCGCTAATGGGTCCCATGGGTCACGCCTACTTATCTTCTCGCTTCTTTCCAGCACAGGCTTCCTCCTCGATCCTTTCAATGGAACGGATACTTACTACTGTCCGCGCATTCGTGAAAAGTAATAATTAGAATATAAAGGAGCGAGAATAAAGGCAAAAGATCGAAATTATTGGTCAACAGAGAATTTCGAGAATCGAAGCGAAACGTATCGATGGAGCGTAGCAGAGAGAGAGAGAGAGAGATCTAATCGATCGTTGTTCGAGAGGACATTTTGTTAAGAAAAAAAAAAAAAAAAAAAAAAAAAAAAGAAAACGAATTGTCCCGTTAAACGATCGAATCGCTACAAGGTTGATTAAAAAAATTGAGCAACTTCTAAAGGCCGAACGCGGGTTGCAAAGAGAGAGCGCGAGAGAGGAGAGATTCAAAAGCATAAAGCATTAATTTCCTGGTTTTAATTAATGCGTCGTGCACGCAGCCGTACAGTAATGGCGGCTGAACCGTCCTACCAAGAGGGGATAAAGGAGGGGGAAGAGGGAGGCGCGGCTAAAAGGGGAATTTGATTAATGATCCTGCAGGATCTGGGACGCGAGGAGGAGGGAGAGAGAGGAAGCGTATCCTAGGGGACGCCTGTCTTGCCACAGAGCACCGATCACTACCAGAACATACCTCCTCCTCTCTACTCTACCCAACGCATTTTTCACACTTTTTCAATATACATTTTTGCGTTCGATATTTTCGAAAAATAGTTTCCACCATTTATTTTTGCCCCCTGAAAAGCGAACGACGACGCGACAATTTCTAAGATAAAAATTCATTCTAGATTTATCTATCCAAAGTTAATCCAAAATGGATGATGGAAATCCGTAAAGTTTTTCTAAAAATTTTCCCTGTTCAACGATAAATTAATGATAAAACATCGAAATTTTTATATATTTATAGTCGCCTTTACGTAAAAAACTAATTAAAACGTTATAGGATAGGATCGGGGAAATTAGGCTTTTAAGAAATTCGCGCAATTCGTTTCATCGATGAATCATTTTGCGAATGAAGAAAAAGAAAAAGAGGATCGGGCGGTGGAAAGATGGTCGATCGGAGAAGAAAAATAGTTTGGTTATCGACACGACGGGAGAAGAAGGCCAGCCCCCTATCTCGTGGCCCATCGAC